TTTTTTTTTGTCACATTTTTTAATATTACAAATGCGTAACAGAATTCACATATATTAATAGACAGTTAACACAGTTACACAATATACCTCGTTCTATACAGAATAAAAAAACATAAAGCTGTGTTATAATTCATCTCAGTCTCCAAATAAACAATAATAAATAATCGAACAAAAAGAAAAAAGACACTTAAATAGTTGTAAAAATTACCAAAATTTAAAAGTACAATTAAACTCTGATCATTTAACACAAATTTTATTATGCTAGTGAAAAACCCCTTTCAACGTACACTTCCATTGGTTTAGCATTTATTTAAAAGTTATGTAACAGCGATGAGAACAAAAAAAAAATTAGCTGATTTGCTCAAAAAAAAGCAACAATTGGATACCATTAATCTCAGAAACATTCCATTTGTCTTTTCATAAACTTTGTAACTGGTGATGGCGCTGCATGTGCAGGAATTATCCAGTCACTCATGCAGATTACCTTTTTTCTTGACATCAACAGTTCCTCTTCATTCCAAACAAAATGTTCTTCTATACGATTTGGATCTATATCCTGTACAAACAATGCGCCTAAATAATTCACTCTCTCAGTTCCACTATCTCAGGAAATATTTTAGCATTCCAAGAACGTACAAAACCTCATTTTATCGTAAAGCATTGGAATGCAGATAAAGCTATTTTCCGTTGACAAAACAAGAAGGGTCTTACTAATAGATGTAGTCTATAAACTGCTTATTTTAATGCTAACCTGTTATTGCCACAGTACCCATAGACGGAACATTTCTTGCAACAACTGTAATAGCATCAGGGCTTGGTCCTGGTGTATGCATTATCTGTGTTTTTGAGGAGCAGAGATCAACAAATGGTATCTGAAAATAAACACGTTGGTTCCTGTTCAACCAAAAAATAAAAAAAACTGTGTTTTTAATGTGCTTATCCCACCTTGCGAACGTTAGCAAAGGCAACCGTAGTCCAATGAGCATAAAACAATCCGATAATAAATTGAGAAGCTGGGAAGAGATTAACATTGCCAACAAATTGTGGTAGGCCAGATGTTATAACCGTGTAATCTAACTTATTCCCAATTATTCCTTTTGAAGCAAGATCTGAAATTTTTTAATTTTGATCTTTGTGAGTCATTATTTGAATAACAACAACAATGATATTTTTAAATTGACAAAAAATGACTAAGCAAAAATTTTTTGTAGCTTAGGAAAAAGTAAATAAAGCTGTACAAGTCTTTAACACCAAGCATAATAAGCTAAAAAGTCTAAAACACACTAGCAATGATTTCGTTTTTTTGAACCGGAAGTCCGGTGTTCACAACAACTGAACAGGGTCCGTCTTGCAGCAGCACCACCGACGAAGTTGCTGTCCAAGTGTTGGTTACATTACCCGGGTGATATTGGGCTCCAGTTACCAGCGTTAACAACGGACCATCATCTTCAGGCATCTAAATTTTTTTCTAGAAAAATCAGTAAAAGATTCACTGTAGCACCTGTCTGATTGCGAAACCACGGTCAAAACGTAATCTGACAGTATATCAATCATTATTACATACAGGAAACTGAAGAAATAAACAAAAGATAATACGCAAAGTTTTCATCAAAATTTTACAGCAACTTTTATGTACATTTATTCTACCATTAAATTCTCCTCCATTGAACAAAAAATTCACAAAATGACTGCGAAATAAGCTATACTTTAACGTTTCAAAACTTACAAGGCGTGAGTAGATTTTAGTCCCGTTTGCGAGAACAACATTCAATCGTTCTTTTGGCGTAGACGTACCATTATATTTGCTGAAATTTCTATCAGCCGTTGGTAAACCAAACCATTCCTTAGCTTTCTCGTTGGTATACTCTGTTAAAAAAAGTTGATTATTTTTTTCTATAAAAATCACAAAATTTCATATATACAGATCTAAAAAAGTGCAATAATAACAATAATGGTAATAATAGTAATGATAATAATAATACTAATACTAATACTACTACTACTACTACTA